TTTAAAAATTCCATTTACAAGACAATTCTTTATAATAAAATTCTATTCACCAATCGATAGACTCATAACGATTGTAAACAATGTTTTTGTTTGAATTTGGGTTTGACCAATTCGTAAAAAAAAAAAACTAATTAAGACATGCGTGTCCGTCAACCTTAAACAATAATCTTTGTCAATTTTATTTTTCAGTCTTTATGATGCTCGAAACTTGATCTATCTCTTACTGTTACATCCCCGGGCAACGCCGGGCTCTACTGCTAGTATATATATATATATATCTTGTATATACACACGCTTAATACTGCTACGGCTGCAGTATATGAAGTGTCCCAAAGATCCTAAGGAGTTACAGGGCTCGTGCTCGTGATTAATGAAATTGGGAACGTGGTATTTGTTAAAATGCTATTAGAAAAAAAAATTGAAAAACTAAAAAAAAAATGTAGATATACATGTTTTACCAACTTTTATTCAAGGTCATAAAGTACAGTAATTAGTCATCATACTTTGGTATCTAGTCATGGATTATAATGGAAAGAGAGATTAGCAAGTTATTACCACCAAATCGAAATAATTATAACTGAAAAAAATTCTTGGGTTTTTTAATCAACTCTTTTACTCTAAATTGGCAATTATTTATATATAAGGTTTTAAGTATAATGTAGGGGTAGTGTAAAAGTAATTGGGGTGGAAAGTGGAATTGGCGGGCTGATTTTATATTCCTGCCTTGTCTGCAACCTTAACTGACGCAATAATGTCTTTGGTAAAGGCATGTCACCATTTTTTCCTCAAGCTTTCCCATCTTAGTGGACAATAGAGAAAGCAAGAGCAACCATCCATTTATTTTTTCTCAAAAGTCATATCAATTCACTTATATTAAAGTAAAGAAAATTGTGGAGAGCTACCATCTTGAAGGGATGTGGCTTTAAAACAAAAGTGCTTTACATATGGTATATTTTGGTAATCCTGATTCTGATATTTGGGTTTTACTCTACGTTGTGTTTTAAAGCCTCAAAATCGACAACTGGTGGTTTCCCTCTTTTGGGCTTTATTTTAAGTCACTACCTTTAAAGCGAATAAATCAGTTTTCATCAGTCAGATATTGTTTTATTTCCTTCTACTTCCAGAATTCTAGTACAATCACCAAAGTTAAGTAACGTCCAACCTGGTCAATACCAAGATGGATGACCGCGTGGGAATACCAAGTGCTGTAAGTTTGGATGTGCAGATGGTGTAAGGAATAATGGTTCGAAATTTTTAATCGGAGAACGGAGTTTCAATTCCAGTCGGGTTCGTTATATTCACTTATGCACAAATATCTTTGAGAAAGGTATGAATCCACCTCTTCTCCCCTAGCTATGGGTTAATTAGTAACACTTTTATTTGATACATACTTTTGTAAAAACTATCATTAAAAATTAGCGATTTATCTCAAAGAATATAAAGAATGTTTCAACAAAATATTAATTTACTTTTCTTTGAGTTTACTAAGCCAAATTTAGTACAGCTTAAAGACAAATGGGAGGAAATGTGGGTAGGAAGTCTGCATAGCGCCAATTTTCTAAGTTAAGTTAGATTGATTCTACATGTCAACCTCTTTTGGCTTATTTAATGTAGAATTTTGTATAAGTCAATCGATAAGAATCGAACTCACAGCTACTAGCCGAGGCGCCTCAACCTTTAAAACTGTGTAGCTTGAAAATCTGGCCTTATATTTGAACTTGAAGTTCGACCACTAGCGCAGATTGGAAACACTCACCTACCTCAGCCAACACAACAGTAATAATTAAGCTTAAGTAGATTTTTGGCACTCAGTTAGGAGGTCGATCTTTAGTGCGAGACTAACTTATTAACTATTGTTCCATGGCGAGGCGCCAGTTGGCGTTCTTTCATCATTTTTTATCGAAAAAAATCGTTACGATGAATGTCATTAAAATTATAGCAAAACCCAGCAAAACTGTCAAATTCAGTTTGTCTTGTAAACGCAAAGGAATAAAATACTTATTAGGCTATGCTATTTACGCCCATAGATACGTGTCTAAATCTAAAATATTACACACACACACACACACATTCACACACATATACACGCTTGCATATGTGTGGGAATATGGTGAATTAGAGGGGAGGTAATTATGTCCATGTAGATCAATGTTGGTACATATGTAATTACAAGAAGCAATTATGAACATTGAGAACCATCTGTTTGATTGGCCAGAGGGTACCTGTTAATGGTGGTGCGGTTACATGTTAGATTTTCTTGAATTCAAATTATATTCATCTTGGGTGGTTGTGGAGGCTTTAAGCCATTTTCGAGGTAAATTTATGCACAGACGCACTTACGCCTGAACACGCATGTCGTCTAAGCCGAAAAAAAAATCAACCTGTTTCTATAATCTCCGTACGTTTGTCTATATGTGTGAATGTGTGTGTGGGTGTGGGTGTGTGTATGTACAGTACTCCCCAGCCCGCCTTGAGACTAGAGTCATCGTCGAACAGCTGAACGAATATGTGTGTGTATGTTATTGTGTGTATGTTATTCTGTGCTTGTGCAGGTATGTATGTTTGTATAAGTGTTTATGAGTCTGTGTATGCATGCATGTCTATGCATACATACACAGACACATATGTGTGCGCCGGTGTGCGTGCATGCATATGTTTGTGTGTAAGGGGGCATTTTATATGTGTGCCCGTGCGTATGTTTGTACTCATGTGTATCTGCGAAGACGAGAACAAAAATGAAAGAATCAGCTCGTAGGCGAATGGGAGAAGGAAAATGTTATTATAATATTTCCTTGATTTAAAATCTGAATCCATCAAAAACATTTAATAATAGGAGAAAACCCTTTGTAAATAACAATCCCAACCTGAGCTCCTAAAACTCATTGATTTTCTTTCCTTTCATTTCCTTTATTTTGTCTTTTCCTATCCCTGAAGATGACTTATGCGAATCGAAATTGTTTGGTTTGGTTTGTTTTATGGCATATCAACCTCAATGGGTTATTTAATAACAACAACATTTTTATTGCTGGTACTATTTTTTTTGAAAATGCCTTGCTGATATATTTTTCAAAAATGTATTGCTCGTATTAAAACCTATTTTTACACCTTTATAGTGTTTTGGCCACAGTTTGGGGGTTAACTATTTACCCATAGCTGGGACCCTAACAGGTGCTACCACCCCGAGTCAGGGTGAGTCTGAGAACATCAGCAATTAAGAGGTGATTCCTCGCTTGTCAAAACCTCCTGATCAGATGCCTTGCTGTCGGATGTACTTTATCGTCATGCCTAGAATACGGATGTAGTTTATCGTTATACCCACAGGAAATACAGCCTCGATTTTTGATATTTTGGGCATCTGCTACAGCCATGTTTGCAGAAGTTTTTTCTATGCATATAGGATATATTCAATAAACATAGAATTTCTATCCTTTGTTTAGAAGAACAATTGCTACCTAATTATACTAAGAAGATAAAAAAGGCACATGCATACCATCATCATCATCATCATCATCATCATCATCAATGATGGCAAAAGAAACAGACAACCTCCCCCAAGAGGATCTGTTGGTGGTGTCTCTCAGGAGTTCCGGTATTGTCATGTCCGTCCATTCTTTGATGTTGTCATGTGCGTTCAATGAGTTTTAGGAGCTTGTGCATTGCTGTCTCTGCTGGCGGTCGCCTTCAACATTACCTTGCATGATGTTCTTGCAGAGGTTTTATGTCGTGTGACGTGGCCAGACTATGCCATCTTTCAACACTCAATAGTGGGGAGAAGGGATTTCAGTCGGTTTACGAACCATTTGACTTTGTTCCATACATAGTCATTGCTTTTGTAATCTCAGTAGGATATAGAAAGAAGCAGTCTTAAGTATTTGTTTTCGAACACCTGGATCATTTTTTTTTCTCTGCCTCAACCAAGAACATTCAAGTCTCACATCCTAAGAGGAGGATCGATCCGACCAGCGATATGTAGAGCTTGAATTTGGTATGGCAGCTGATGTTGCTCTTCCATATCCTTTCCAGTTTGGCCATCGCTACTGTGGCTGTGGCGATCATAGTGCGGATTTCTGAGTCGCAGTTGTCATTTTTCGACAGGGTTGCTCCCAAGTATTTGAAGCTAGACACTTCCTCTAGTCGTTCGCCGTCCATTGTTACATTGACACTGGTGTTGATTGTGCTATTCACCAATATTTTATATTCCTCTGTGTTGATGAGTTCCATTCTATATGCGGCAGTTCTCTCAACGAGTTTGTTGGTCAGGTCTTGCAGCTCACTGTTACTGCCTGCTATCAAGTCAATATCGTCTGCGAAACGCGGGTTTCAGATAGAGATAGTAATGTTGTGGCCGAGGAGGTTTTCCTGCATAACTTTCTCCAGAAATAGGTTGAGGAGTGTCAGAGAGAGTAGACATTACTGTCAACCACCGATAGTCGTCTGGATGAAATCTCCCTCTTGCTTGATCGAGAGAACTGCACTGGTGTCATGGTCATAGAAGGCCTGGGGGACTTTTATCAGCGATTCTTCTATGCTGAATCTTCTGAGAACGTGTCAAAGGTCATCATGCCATACTTGATCAAATGCTATCTTGAAATTAATGAATTTGTAGAATAGGTCATTTAGTTTTGCAGATGTTTCTCGATGAGGACCCTACATTTGAAAATGAGGACCCCCTCCCCAAATACTAAATAAGTAGAAGGAAATGGGAAATTAGAGATGAGACATCAAGTGAGAAAAAAGTATTTTGGCTTTTGATTGATTTGTTTTCAAACTTTTGCAGCTTATTTAAAGTCAGAACACATGTTTAAATTGTAAGAATTTTTGACATTTTTTACTTACTAATTCACCCATAGTTTGTGGGAGAAAAGGTGGATTCATACCTTTCTCAAAGATATTTGCGCGTAAGTGAATATAATAAACCCAGCTGGAATTGGAAGTCGGCTGTCCGATTAAAAATTCTGAGTCATTATTCATAACACCACCCACACATCCAACTTTACAGGAGCTGGTATTCCGATGTGATCATCCATCTAGGTACTGAGCAGGCTGGAGGTCGCTTAACTTTGGTGATCGTACGGGAACCAATGTTTCAACGTGATTTGGCCGTAAGCCTAAAAAAGCACGTCTTCAGTAATTTTGTGTCAATATTTCACACTTCTCAAAATTGTTCATTGATTAATGAAGACTTGTTCAACAGATGCATCTCACTTGTACTGACAGATAGATAGAAGACATACAGACATTCATACATACATACATACAGATAGTTTTGTGATGCTGGACGGCTTCACTTGTCACTTTTGCTATATCAAGCGAAAGCTCATTGTCACTTCCAAAAATGCTCGTTATATTCGTGACTTCGTAAACGCCGGTACTAATAATAACGCCTTCCAATAATATCCGCACTAGTAATACTTGTTCTATTAGTAATCGCCAAATAGTATAATGATCAGAAGAGAATCGTAATCCGTATAGTAGAGAGAATGAACGTATAGCAATCGTGGATAGGCAAGAAGTGAACAGTGAACATCATGCTATTTCGTATTTATTCACTTCCTTTTTGATCACGTGATGTACTTAATAATGGAATCGCCCGTGTTATTCACTTGCGATCTAGTTTCAAACCACAGTGTCGGCAACGGCACTTACTCTTATACAAAAGATAGATAGATAGATAGATAAAAACAGGGAAAGATTTAACTCCTCCATAATTTCCTTTCTTTTTCCTAACTTCGATAGATATTCGAATATTTTATAATGTTCTGAAATTTCAACACATATTATTATTTATTTTTCTGGACAATACTTTTCCTGTGTTTATAAATACAGTTGTTTTCATTAAATATTCTATATTTACGTTTGATGATGAAATTACACAAGTAACGAAACTTGTTGCAAAAGTAAGTTTTCCTGTTTTGTCACTTCTATTTCTTATTGATTTTTCACATATATTAAGGAAAAAAAAAAACAGATAAGATACATATAAACAGTTAAAATTAGTGGGGCACATATTGAAGAAAGAGTATTTAGAGAATTTAACATACCCAAGATAAACAGAGTACAAGCGAAACAGAGGGAAACATCAATTAACGTACCTAATGAGTTAGTCCAAAAAAAGGAAGTTGGAGGAGGAAATATCGGTTGGAGCTATAAAAGATACGAAAGTGCTGAAGAGGCATGATAGCCCACGTTCTGAATGAACACAGCACATAAATGAAGAAAAAAGAATTAAATACATTCAAGAGATTCCTGTAATTTGCCGTTTCTATTAAATAACAAGTACGCCCAAACGAAAAGATTAAATAAAAGACACTTATACCAAATAATGTGACTAAAATTTCTTAAATACAACATCACATTTACAGGACGTTCATGCAATTAGTCTCTCTACTCCTTCTAAAGACATTTTTCTTAACTTATTTTCAGAATAATTCCGCCATATTATTGGAGAGATCATTCAATTTATAGTTTCGTGTCTTTGTTGATTTTTTTGACAAATTTTTACGAGCAGGGTATGCAAACCCTTGTTAATCGCTGCGGGAAATCCATAGCTAATGGTGGCGACAATTTGGAAAAATAGTGTGATTTTTGCTCTAGCTAACGGTGTCATTATGCTGACTGCATTTGTTGCAATTTTTGTGTAAATAATTAGGTGACGTTAATTTTGGAGAGTCCTTCGTATAAACATATATATATATATTTAAAATTCATTTCACTCCAAGTAAGGAGATAATTACACTCAGACGCAAGGGGATTACCGACACTGAAACAGAATGAGAAGACTTTTGTGAAGATGAGCGACAAGAAATGAACTGGTTTAATGAAGACAGAAGATGGCGATTGGCGAAAATTGTAGCTGGCAGGGAAGCAAGAAAGCGGAAGAGAGTTTCACAAATACGAGAGAAGAAACTATCAGAATAGAACATGCGGTTACATCCAGTGAGCTCAATAGTAAAATTGTGAGACCTAACTACCAATGGAGTAGTACGCTTAAATTCATGCAGTCGAGATACCGAGATAGAAAGCTCATCAGAACAATTGTCCCAAAAATATTGGTAGAAAAGACATTGGGAATCTACATCATGGCGGTGGAAAAGTAAGTGAAGTCGAGATACTAGCTCAGGGTCGATTCTATCACATACCCGTCTTTTAATGATGTTTTATATATATATATATATATATATATATATATATATATATATATATATATATATATATATATATATATCTAAACCTTATCTTGTGCCTTATATATATATATATATATATATATATATATATATATATATATATATATATATATATATATATAATGGACTCTCCCGGCGGTTTCGATGTATGAGGATCTGACAACTTAACCAATTGATTCAGTTACGAAATTTTATGCGAAATTCTTAAGTGGCACTCAAGACCCGCTAGTGATTTACAAAGGAGGCTGCATATGAAGCAAGAGTGAAGATTGTGGGATGAGATCACTGTTAGATTGGCTGGCCTTTTAGATCGTGCTCTCGATTCTTGAAGACGATTCAGACAAGCAGACTGAAAACTGCTGAGTCCACTAACACACGTTGATCTCCATTCTACCCGCTCCAATGCTAAGCGCTGGAAAGTGTTATGAGCTATATTGACAGCTGACAAGTTGCTCTTCAGTTTGTCTTTATATCTTAGCTATGGGCGCCCTATATTCCTATAGCCCTGATCTAACTGGCTGTACATTAGGATCTTGGGTATCCTGTCATCAGACATTCTCAAGACATGACCAGTCCACCGTAACTGAGACTGTATGAGAAAAGTCTCGATTCCGTCAATATTACACCTTTTAAACAGATCTACATTAGATGTCCTATCTTGAAGGTTTGCCTTCAAGATAGAGAGAGAGAGAGAGAGAGAGAGAGAGAGAGAGAGAGAGAGAGAGAGTTAATGACGAAGAGAGCGATAGAAAGAGAGAGTGAGAGAAAATTGGAAGTTATAAAAACGACAGAAAAAAAACAAATATAGAGTTAATGACGAAGAAAGAGATAGAAAGAGAGAATGAAAGAAAATTGAAAGATAAAAATGACAGAAAAGAAATAAAGAAATATATGGAGAATTAATGATTCAAAGAAGAGGATATATATATATATATATATATATATATATATATATATATATATATATATATATATATATATATATATATATATTGAAGGATAACATCAATCATCTAAGTGACGAACTTATATTAATTCTCTCGCTTTCTTTATATATATATATATATATATATATATATATATATATATATATATGTATATATATATGTTTCATTGAATACGACAGAAAAGGGCATTGATTTGAGCGCTTTCGGCTATACATTTACCCATATTCTAAGTTGTAATATATGTTAACTGTTAAAAAGAAATAGTTTGTTGTATGCATGTATTTATATAATGTTTTCATTTTCAAAACATGGTCAAGATATTGTGTTCATATTCATAATTGATATTAGTGAATGTTATTTTTTTTTTGTTTTTATTAATAAGGCTTCCATTATTTTTAGCTTTTTTTGCAGGTATTTTTTTGTTTTAAATGTCCATTAAGCAATTGTATTCCTGATCAATCAAAATTCGTAAATAATTATATAGGCCATACTACAACATGTTTTATACGAAGACTCACACTACACCATTCTGATCATAGCTCAATTAGGTTTAATTTAAATACTCATGGAGACCTACCAGACACTATTCGTAACTTGCTTGTTGACAACACAAATATAATAGCATCATCTACATGCAAATTGGCAAATGAAAATGATAATAATGTTGTTAAAGGTAATTACGATGTAATATCTTATGATACTTATTTGTTAATGTGGCTTACGGCTACATCACGTTGAAACACCTGTTCTCGTATTATCACCGAAATTAAACAACGTCGGCCATAGATGGGTGGACGCTTCAGAATAACAGGTGATATAAGCTTGGGTGTGCAGTTGGTGTAATGGATAACAGCAGCTATAACTAAAAGAGATATCAAATGTAATTCGAAGAGAAAATAATGTCATAATCAAGATATTGGCAACCCACACAACTTTAAATAAAAGGTTAGGAAGGAAACTCCCAATTAAATACCGGAAATTGCGATAACAGCTCGTGCACTGAGAAATATATTTTCCTGAAAAATTGATTTAAGAAAAATATTTTATAAATTTTAACCGACAGTAGTAGTGGCTGCTCGGTTAATGAATACCGCATGTTTCCTTATAAGGAAACGGCTAATATTACAATTACTATTACCATACACATTCATTTATACAACTTCTCACGACGGCCGGATGTAGCACAAGGATTTTTTTATTATGTGGTGTACCTTAGGTCAAGCCAAAAAGTAACCAATTCACCTACCCTCCTTCTTTTAGTGGAATGAGGTATGTGCCACTGCAGGGTTGTGATCCCCTTCAGCAGGCGCCTCCTCTATTGAGGGGAGTAGATGCCACGAAATGATCTCGGCGGTCTGTGGTTGAAGAGAGAAAAGAAATTTTGCGTTATTCCCTTTATACTATTTTATACAACGCCACCTAACGGAAGTTAATAGACGATCCATAACAGATAACGAGTTGTAATCCCAAAACTGAACATCCCTAATATAAATCTAATTGAAAATTTATGGTGGAAATGAAAAAAAAAAATAGAAAGAAAAAAAAAAGAGAGGCCTTAAGAAGCCGGTTCCATCCGCCAAAGAATATTTATTAACCGCCTTTCAGGAAAGTTGTAAATACTTTTATAAAAAAAAATATTGCTTTAAATTAATGAAATCCATGCCTAAAAGAATTATATCTGCCATAAAAGTTCGAGGAGGGGAAATATGAATTTTAATTTTTTGCTGATGAATTCCATCATTTTTTCACAATCTTAAGTTATTCCATAATATATTTTCGGCAGAACTCGGATAAAAAACTATATCATTAATTTAAACTAGCAATGCCTGTGGAAATATAACGGTTATGTGTGTGTGTGTGTGTGTGTGTGTAATTCCAAATTTGGAAACTGAATATGATTTAAAGTAAATATTAAACTGGACAACAGCGTTACCTAATTTAGTATTTATGCTTACGTATAGACATATTCTCA